AGGCACATACATTGCCTGATTTGCAAGACAAGACGTCACCAGCAGTGAGGGCAAAACAGGTTATCTGCATTCCACCCTTGGGACTCCCTCCTTCTCTTCCCAGCAGCGCCATGTTGTGCGCCTTACAGCAGTGCAGCTTGGATGTTTCAAGAGTGTGAAAAATGAGGCAAGGTCCTTCTCTGCAGAAGAGGGCAGAGAGCCCAAGCTGGTGAATGGTCTCCGGGGCCTGGTGCACTTGTTCTTCCAGCTCAGGTCATTTGCAGGCTCCGTTCTGAGCTCTTGATTTTGCTGTCATAGTAGCTCCACAGAAGTGGGTTAAGTGCCAAACTGTCCCTTCGTGCTGATCTGACTGTTACACAGAAGCAAAATCATGCAAGGAAAAACAAACCTTCCTTCCTTGTTGGAATGGGAAAATTTTGATGGGGGCCAAGCTCGATCTTGAGGGAACATGCAAGCAAGTGGTGCTCTAACTGCCGCCAAGAAATCAGGACCAGAGCAGCCTCTGCGATCCATCTGGCAGGCGTCAAAGGTGCTGCGCCCATCGCTGCTTCCTCCTCCGCTGCGCTGTCCAGGCTGATTCCGCATGTTAAAAAGATGCAGGTGAATTGACGGGCTGGGCGAGCAGAGTTTTCTCTGGTTGTTTCCCGTGGACGTCCTCTTGATGGCTTTGCTGAGGTTCAGCTGAGGAAGAGTTAATCTGGGCCAGAAGTGGGGCAGTGGGGATGTCTCAAAATCAGAGCAGCCCTTCAGCGTTGCCAGGGAAGGTAGCGATGCGGACCAAGCCGGGAGTTCAGGCCTGCTGCTGCTGCTGCTGCTGCAGCTGGGCCCCTGCCTTAACTTAGCTCTCTCTGAGAAAGTGCAGACCAGCTTCTGGACTCCCAGATGTGTCCTTAATGTGGCCCTGAGGCTAGAGGCCGGACTGCCTAGAATCAAAGCCAAATCTGGCAACTGTCTCTGTCCTTCCGACTCAGGATTAATTTTGCTGCTGTCCTTAACTTTATGGGACACATTGAAACCAAAAGGGGGATTGCCATCACGAGTAGGCTGGGTTCCTGTGCTGTGCCAGCGGGCTATCCATAGTGGTAGAGAAGGCCAAGGGGGCTATTAGACAGAGGGCATAAGCTTCAGAATAAGCTGACCCACCTGCCAGAGAAAGGCAGAGGCTTTACTGGCAAAGGTGCTTCTCCAGAGCTTCGGCGCTCGCACTCCAGCAGCCTTGGAGGCAAATACAACGAAGCGCCACGGGGATCTGGAGACATGGGCTCTTGAAAGCGTATTTTTGTTGCGTACATTTTATTTAGATCTCTGTTCTGAGCTACTTCATTAAAAAATTGCCCAGCCAAACCGATGAATTTTATGTAGATACATCCTAGCAACCAGAAACCCTGAAATTACCTATGCAGAGTTTTGGGGTTTTTGCAGTTAGGCTGTGCCATATCAGTCTTTAAGCAAAAGGTCCATGGCCTGATATCGGCAGTGTCTTGTTTTGAGGATTGTTTGACTGTTCTTTTATTCAGTTTATTTTGCCCGGTTTCTTATCTCTGGTCATGGTGAAGAAGGGTTCGGTGTTGTTGCTCCCTGCCACAAAGAGCAACCCTCAATCCTCGCAGCAGCCTCCGGGAATCTGGATTCCAAGAGCCGGCTGGCTCTGGCCTGGGGGAGCGACGGCTGCATTTCTTCTCTTCTGCCCCGTGAGTGGTTAAAGGGAGCTGCCCAACCAGCTACCTGTGAGCAAAACCTGAGTTCACACAACTTAAACTTGGATTAAGAAAGCATAGTTGCTGATGTGAATCAAGCCTTGATTCAGGAACTCTTGGCTGAGAATCCTGGTTTAACGTAACATAGGAATTGCAGCCATTTTATTAATACAGGTGGCACATTAATAAATTGAAATCCTGCATGGGGAAACTTACAGGAAGTCTGTATTTATCAGCTGGCCCAGATACTCCTTAGAAGAAAATTGAGAATACCGATTCTTGAGGATGAGGTTAAATTCCTCTGCTGTCCTTGGTATGCCAGTTCCTGAGCTTAGAAAAAGCCATGCCGGGGCTGCTGGCTGCTCCTTATCTGGCCTCTGGATTGCGTTTGGCAGCTGTTTGCCTTTCAGCGCCTTGCAGAGATACCTTCTTTGTGTGAAGAGATGGTCAGCCACCCCCTTCCGCACCATCTGGACCATCTCCTCCCAGTGCCACATCTAATCTGCATCGCGGTTGGGTGGTGAATGGGAGCGTTTGTCCATCGCTCAGAAAGCATCTAGACAGTGCCAAGCTGCTGGACTGTCAGTGTCTAAATTTAATCCCTTGCATTTATGCTTTGTTTTTTTTTTAAAAAATGACAATGTAAAAACCTGTCTATAAAGAATAAAGAATAACTATTCTGCCTAATTTCTAAAGACAACTATTTGATTACTTTTAAGGTATGCCTTGATCAGCTTTTAAAGTATGAGTTGACTTATGTTACAGTACTTTTTTGGCATTTCTTGATGATAGAGCATTCTGTATTGTCTTTCCCCTTCGCTATTCTTTGTCCGTTGGCACCAATGAAAAAAATATAAACCTTAGGAAAGGCCACTATCATTTTGGTCAGCACTGAGTAAGAGTGTTACATTGGTGCTGCTTTTAACATGGGAATCGAGCCACCTGTAATCTTCTAGTAAAACTGAGGACTTGACTGCACATTAGACAGCAGGCATGATATGTAATTTACATAGCAGAATGTACGAACAAATGTTCCTTCAGAATCCAAGGCCTGTACTTATCCGAGGCTGGAATCGTGCTTGGGAAGGAATCCGTAGCTGAGCCTGTCATACGACCCTAGCGCTGGACCTAGGAGGCCCAGGGCAGGAATCCTCATCCCAGTCTGAACAAACGGCTGTCCAGCCTTTTCTTGAAAGCCTCCAGTGATGGAGCAGCCACAACTAAAACTTAGTTCAAGTTTGGATCTCTCACTGTAAAACTCCCACCCAGTGGTTCTTGCCTTACCCGCAGGTGCTAGGGAGAATAAACCTCTTCCCTGTGACATCCCTGCATATATCAGAAGATCGCTATCATGTCTCCCCTTCGCCTTCTCTTCTTTGGGCTAAACAGACCCAGTTCTTTCAACTGCTCTTTGTAGGATTCAGCCTCCAAGCCCCTTACTAACTTTGTTGTTCTTCTCTGCACTGTTTCCAGTTCCTCAGCATCCTTCTTGCATTGTAGTGACCAGAACTGGACCCAGCGTTCCAGTGTGGTCTGACCAGTGCAGCGTAGGGCAGCACTATCACTTCCTGTGATCTTTAGGCAGTGGCCCAGGTTGGGCAACCTTGTATCCTCCAGATGTCGTGGAATCCAGGTTCCATAAGCTAGGACATCAGTGGTCATGGATTTTGGGGTTGTAGTCAAACACCTCAACGGTACCACCTTGTGCTAGAACAAGTTTCAGCAACCATGGTTTCATTAAGTAGTGCCTGTTGAAGTCCTGTTTTATTTTTTTTTAAAAGATGTCCCATATCTTACAAGGTAGCCCAAATCTTGAACAACCTCTGCATTCTCACATGGAATACAGAATATTTGTCTCCTACAGGCGCCTGTGGCATTGCATGAGTTGTGCCGTGATGCCTGCTCTTTGAAAAGCGTGAGAGTGCCAGGATGAGAGTGATGTGCTCTCATGTTAATGACTCCTTCATATATTTTGAACTAAGTAAAACTTCATGTGATCTTCAACATAAAACTTCAGCAACAGTGTATAACCCAGCACTGAATGGGGGTCAAAAAACCTCAAGATAGCTGCTGCAATTGCATGCTCCTGTTTTACGTGGTTGTGCCATCTTGATTTTTGACCTCCGCCCCCACCCATGCATCCTTCCCCCTTCTCGGCTGCCTCCTGTAAGGCTGCCTTTGGCTTTCTGTGCTGACTCAGTCACACTGCGCAAAGCCCTGTTGTGTTGTATGGTGTAGAGAAGCTGGTTGGGGGGTCAGTTGGTTGGTTTTGCAGCAGAGCCTCCCCAGCTGCTGTGACCTTAATGGGACCCAGTAATGGGGGGCAAATGTTCTTCCCCTTTCATAAGGCCACACAGGGTGAACTCTTGGCCACCAGGACCATCAGTAGGCAGAAGGAACCACAAGCGTGCACTCTGCTTCTGTGATTTATTCTGAATGACATGATTTCAGGCAATAAACAGAACCATTTCCAAAATGGCATCAGGCATCTAAAAAAGGAAGAATATGTAGAGCTTGTAAGGAAATGTATTCTTTTAAAAATTCAGCATTTGAGTCTAAATGAAGAAATGAGATCTATATAGTTATGGAAACAGCTGTTAATATTTTTTTCAACTTTACCTGAGTATTAGTCATTCTTTGTTGAATGTTTTGCAGATGCTTCTATTTTTCCCTACCAATTTTTTTCCAGATTGTTCTCTCTTATTCCTAGAAAATGTCTTTCCTTACAGTCACAATTATGACAACTTCTTGCTGGCAGTTTAGCAGCTAGTCTGGGAAGTGATGAGTTTTAAAGGCCAAACTTTGTGTGGGAGCATTCTTTGCGCATGCGTTGGTGCTGCTGCTCCCAGAATGCCTCCTCAGCATGGACGGAACCTGCCTGGGTGACTCTAGGAGGAGGAGTCACAGCATCTCTCTTGGCACCTTTGGGGAAAGATGATGTGGGCCTCTAATTACAAGCACGTCCAGTGCGACTGTTCCCCACCATGCTCTGGCTGAACCCAGGTTTGGCCGAGCCTTGTTCCATGCAGAAATCCCTGAAAGAAGAGAGTCCTCAGTTGCTACTGGCATGCACCCTTGCGTATAATTGGGACCAGTTGGAAGGGTTAACACTTCCTCCCATCTTGCGCTTCCAGTGAAAATCCACCCCTGGTTTTGATTCTGGGCCTCCTTGTCAGCTGTTCTGTAGGGAACCCTGATGGGGTTTTATCTGAGAGTTTGTGTGGCCCTTCTCCTTCTGGGATGCAGTGAGCCCATCAGCTGCTTCCTCTTGCTCATGAGTTTATGTCTGGTTTTCCTGAATAGGTTGTGAAAACAATTGGCCTGCGAGAAGTTTGGTTCTTTGGACTCCAGTACCAGGACACCAAGGGCTTCTCAACATGGTTGAAATTAAATAAAAAGGTAAGGAGGTGTCTTTCATTTTGTTTTCTACTTCTGTCCCTCCTAAAAGGGAGAGTTTGCTTTCTTGAGCAGGGATGGAACATGTGTGCCTTTGTGGGGTTGGGTCCCCATCAGTCTGTGTCCTTCAGGGGTCTCTGAGCTTTGAGGTAGATGACTCTCCCTTCATTCTTCTTCTGATTAGGGTGCAGTCCCACCTTAACTATCTCTGAATCTGGAGCAGCTTCCTACCTTTCCTTCCATAGTGCAGAATACTAGGTTGCAAGTGGCATTTACTGTCTACTGTCTTATCCATTTGAGCACCCTCTAGATCAGTGTTTCTCAACCTTGGCAGCTCGAAGTTGTGTGGACTTCAATTCCCAGAATTCCCCAGCCAGCCATGCTAGCTGGGGAATTCTGGGAGTTGAAGT